CCCTATTAATACCGACTTTAGTTGGAATGTTGATTATTTGTGACCTTACTTGCAAAACAATCATCACAGAATAGAGATCAAGTTGTCATCACCTCTTATTTGCAAGCTTGGCCTGCTAGTTTGAGTTATTTTTTATTACTAAAAAAAACTCCCTACAAGCGAGGGAGAGGAAATGAGTAGGTGACCACCTCTACCACCGTCAATAAAGAAATTAAATTCTCCATTTTTGGCTAGAAATCAAGGTTGTCAACCCGCGGGTTGACCCGGACCCGGTTGAGCTAGTGGGTCAAGGGTTAATGGGTCACCCGTTTTAGCCCGGTTTAGCCCGGAAATATGGAAAGTGTCATTATATTGTACTTATCCTGATAAATTATATCAGATCTCATCTAACATATGAGTTACAGCATATAATATTACACCAAAATAACATTTCGTACTTAGATTCAACATATAGTGAAAATTCACACACACATATATAACATTAATATTCAAATGTTCAACTTAGGATTCCAAAGATTGAGTTAGGCGAAAAGAAAAATCGGAAAATAGGCGCATTTCGCAAAACAAAGAAAAAAATGACACAATTTGACCTCCAACCCGGTACCTTGTGGCGGTCAACCCGGCGGGTGCGTGCAACCCATTTTTCTCACCGGGTCAGGGTCAAAGTGGGTCAACCCGTTGACAACCTTGCTAGAAATACATAAATATAATTATAATGGGGGAGATAGGCGGTGGCTCTTGACGAAGCAACTCTGAAAATTAGTGATTGAGATAGAATGGTCTTAGTTTATATTTAAACATTTTAATTTTCTTGATTTGTTGTTGTTAAAATAAATAAACTAGTTAAACATGGGTGGTTCATCTGGTTCATTTGGTAAATCTCTAACCGTCCGAAATCTTGCCTATTGTTTCATTGTGTAACTGTTTAGGGTTCATTTCTTTTCAGTTGCTTGCTAGATAGAGTCATGCATTTACGCTCACAAATATAGAACCCCAATATTGACATTACGATGTTTACAGTTTACCAAATTGTTCATTGCCTTCCTCCGGCCAACAGACTAGGCTATAAGCTAGCTTAATATTTTAGCTTTTTTTATTTTTCACCCTGTTTGGACTACGGGAAACTTGGATTATATTCTTTTTTTTCTTCCATCTATGCCTCTCTATGCCAACTGGCTCATGTTTCGATTATATTGATATGCTGGGTTGGAGTTTTTATAGACCACTAATTTAGTACTCCACATTTTGATTATTAGTAGCCTAATCTCTTGAAGTTTCTAATTATTACTTCAATGCATAATTGTCTTGGTTTCATTTGGAGATAATAGAAAATCAAGTTAATAATAACGAATCTTATTGATAAATATCTCTCAAACTAAGAAGTGTAAAAATTTACTCTAAAATATGAAAAAATATAGAAATCATTAAGTTATGACGAGCAGATCAACATAAATACGTATGAACTAGTAATAGAGTATATGACCAATAATGAGTACACAAGTATTTTTTTATAGAATGAGTACACGAGTATTACTTTCAAATCATGCATAATCTATATAAAAGATCACAGATTATTAAAATATAAATAAATGACAAACACAAATATTACAAAATAAAATCAAAATCTATATAAAAGATCACAGATTATTAAAATATAAATAAATTCACAAACACAAATATTACAAAATAAAATCAACGATAAGGTAAAAGCTAGTTGATATATAAGTATAAAACACAAACTGGGTAGCCGATATGCACTCCGACCTAACTCGTTGCCATCTCTGCTCCTAAAATCAGAGTCAGACTCAAACGGTGATGTTGACTCTAGGGATGGCAACAAAAACCCGAACCTACGGGTACCCACCCGACCCAACTAGGTCAACACGGGTAAAATCCGTGTTGACGGGTTTTGGGCCGGGTTCGGGTTTAAACCTGCTAAACTATTCACCGGGTTGGGTTGGGTTTGGGATTAGGTAAACTCGTCCCATGGGTATACCCGCCCACACCCATATAATTAATTTTTCCGGGTTATTTAATATTCTAAATAATATATCTTCCTTAAACAACTAATCTTCTTTATGTTTGTGGAGACATGTCTAATTTGTTCTTTCTAATTGTGTACAATGAAGTTGATATTATGGAGTGGACAGTGAAGAAGCTTAGTTGACGAGGAAGGAGCTTTCAATTAATCATGTTGTTTATAAATGTTTATCTTTAATTTTGAGCAATTTGTATTGATAATTTGCGACTTGCTTGTATGCTCTAGATTAGTGTTTTTGTATGGATAATTTTTATGAGAAAATTGATGTTAGACTTTTATTTTGAAAGAAACTTGTTATTACAAATTTTTTAACTAAAAAATCCATGGGTACCCATGAACTCGGGGATACCCAGCGGGTTGGGTTGGGTTTGAGTTTTTTTCCAGGTTTTTTTACGGATAAACCCATGGGTTTGGGTTTGGCAAAACCTGCCCCAACCCGCCCCATTGCCATCCCTAGTTGAGAGCAGATCCGGTGAGTAACCTTGTGGTGCTATAACCCCATGTATAACCCAATAAGAATCAGCCACGTCAGCGTCTCCTTCTTTCTCCTCGAAAAACCTTTAATTTTCCTTCCCTTAATATTTAACGGACAATTTCTCACTCGTTTTAACTCAGAATTTTTTTTTGCACAGTTATATCAGATTAATTATGCTCTTCAAAATGTTAACCACTTTGATATTTTTTGGAACAAAAAAAATTTGCCAGTTATTACCAGTCTATACCATATGGTATTGAGTGGTATTAAATAACAACATATCATATGGTACGAAAAATACCACCCCATACCAGGGTGGTATAGTATAGAATGGAGTTGGTAACGAGAGGTATGGAATTTTTTCACCCATAAAATTTTGAAATCCAATATATCATGATTAATCGTTCCTTCTGTGCAAAAAAATTCAAAAACGACTAAAAAACGAAGGAGATACCATATGGTATGTAGTTGGTAATGAGAAGTATGAATTTTTTTTCTAAAAAAATATTGAAAATGGATATCATTTTGTAGAGCACAACAAATTCGTTCCATCTGTGCAAAAAAAAAATATTGAAATTCGAGTTAGAATGAAGAAGATATGATTAGGGATGGCAATGGGTCGGGTCGGGCGCGAATAGTGCATATCCGTCACCCTACCCATAGTAGTTCGGGTTTTACGCATGCGCATACCCACATGTGAAACGGATAGAAAATCAAAACCATGCCCATCCACGGCTATCCATGGGTAATAATTTCTCTTCATAACTCCAACCAATATGTTAACATTCATATGTATTCTCACATTACGTAAGAGGAAAAGTACGACAATAATTCACTAGAATGAAGAAAATTAATTAGAAATACACAATTTCATGAAAATATTCTATTTATATGCTAAATATAAAATATGTTAGAGAAAAATAATGATTATTTCTACACAAAATACATATGCATGTATATAATCGGGCGGGTTCGGGTTGGATAGTGAGAAACTCATGTCCACCCATTACCTGCAATATTCGGGTTCGGATTTTATCCATACCCACTAAATGTCCTTCGGGTTCGGGTTTTATCCTACCCGATTAGGCCGGATTCGGGAGGATATCCACGGTTACGGATATTTTTGCCATCCCTAGATATGATCCAATCAAGAAAACTAGGAAAAATAAATTACTTTAATTCTCCACCCTTATATTTGCAGCCACATAAAAGAAGGGTTCAGATTTGGTTACTCCTAGTTATGCACCCTAAGGTTATGCACCCTATCTTGAGCCTCCCTAGTTGGGAACTAGATAGTGTGACAACACCACTTGTGTTGTTATTGTAACAACACTAGTCTCCAACTAATAGGAAGCTAGGGTTGTGATGACTTTTTATTAGCTGAGTTGACCTAGTGTAAAATCAAAGCAGTGATATAATTGTTATTATGAGAAATATGTTAAAATAATAATAAAAAATATTTTTTATTTTTTTCCAAAATTTTGGTCGCATGAATTCGCCACCAGTCGCCTGAATCTGGTCACCGATCACCGGAATATGTTTTTTATCGCCGGAATATACTATTTTATCATCGGAATATGCTCATCGTCGCCGGAATATGCTCACCGTGGTCGGAATATGTTTACCGGCATCGAAATCTAGTCATCGGGGTCGCAATATGCCTATCGCCGTCAGAATCTGCTCACTAACGGTCATCAGAGTTTGGTCAACGGTCGACGACCACCGGATGTTATGGTCTACATTGTGAGATTTATGGTTTGGTTTCTCATATTTTTGTATGCCTTTTGTGGTTTGCTTTATCGTGTTTGTGGTTTGCATTAAGAAGTTTCTGGTTTGCTTTCAAAAGTTTTGTGGTTTGCATTGTGAGGTTTCTGGTTTGTTTTAATATATTTGTGGTCTGCATTATGACGTTTATGGTTTTCTTTTTGTGTTTGATTTACTGTGTTTGTGGTTTCCATTAGGAGGTTTCTAGTGTGCTTTCGCAAATGTTGTGGTTTGCTTTGTGAGGTTTGTGGTTTGTTTTAGGAGATTTGTGGTATGCATTAGAAGGTTTCTGGTTTTGCTTTCGAAAATTTTATGGTTTGATTTGTGGGGTTTTTGGTTTGTTTTAATGAATTTGTGGTCTGCCCTAGAAGTTTTTTGGTTTGCTTTTTTGTGGTTTGCTTTATGGCGTTTGTGGTTTGCATTAATTTTTTTTTGGTTTGCATTATGGTGTTTCTGGTATGCTTTTTATGGTTTGTTTTATCGCTTTGTGGTTTGAATTAGGAGGTATTTGGTATGTGTTAGAGAAATTGTGGTTTGCATTAGGAGGTTTCCAATATGCTTTTTGTGGTTGAAGAGATGATTGAGACTCCAAAAGAAATTGCACGCAAGAAGAAGAACGAAGAAGAGTTTAGTCCTCAATTCCGTTTTCGTAGCTTAATTTGCCCACTCAATTCAGTGAATGTATTGCTTGCTTCTTCTTATATTGAGGCGTTTGCTGTTTATCGTCTTGTACTGTTATTAGGCTAAGGAGAAGGAACTCAAGAAGCAAAAGGCTGCCGAGAAGGAGTACAATAGCACCGAGAGACTAAGCATCGGCAGGGACACATATTAAGTAGAAAAGGTTTGGGGTGGGCGGGCAGGGCGGTCCGGTGGGGTGCGACACCCAATCGGCAGGCCTTCATCGGCCCACCGGGAGAAAGCACGGTGAGAAAGCTTGGACTGGGCGAAAGGGTCGGCGGTGGAGAGGAAAATAGCACCGAGCTCGCCGAGTGACGATGCGAAAGCCACGACTGAAGCACAAGGAATATCATCCCCGTCCTTGTCTAGAGGGAGAACCGGCAACTGGAGGCCGTTCGGTCTCCACATAGATCCTCGTTAAGAGGAGCGTGTCTCCAGCATTGGATGGGGTTTCTTCATCTCCGGCCTCGGAGGTCGCAATCCGGGCTATGACGGAGGGACGACGGAGTTGAAACGCAGTGAGGGTTTTGATTTTACAGGGAAGCCGGCAGGGGAGAAGAAGAATCGAGATCCAGCGGGAGTGTGAAGGAGACGAGGGTGGGTGGACTAAACATATTTTAGTTTAATTTTAATTTTATTAGTGATATGATCCAAATCCGAAGAGAACCCTCGAACTCGGATGATATGACCAAAGTACGTAGCCTTCCTTCTTTTTAAGGATTTTCGAAGCTTTTCTCCAACTTGATATAAAAGATAGATGTGGAATCAATCGGACAATCCCAACTCGTGACAAAGGGCAATTGGTATATTAAACCAATCGGACATAATCAACTCGTGGAAAGGGGAAATTGATATAGGGTAGATGCTCGCCACAACTACACGTGTTATCTAGTTGACAAGAGACACGTACAATCTCCTGGAATCCTCGACAGAAGTCTTGCACAAACGTTCACAAAGGAACACGAGTAAAAACTCTTTCATTGATAACTTGAATGTTGGGTACAGAATTCGTAGGTCTTACACCCTCTATTTATAGAGGTCTCAAAAACATAAAACTAACTAAAAGGAATAGGAAAACAAATCCCAAACTAACTAGGAAACATAATACTATTTAATTAAGGACTATAACTCGTTTTTATAACCAAAGGAAGCTTCTTAGCAGCTAAGTAATCTGCAAACACGTTTTTAATGCTTAAGGAAGCTCTTTAGTGGTTAAGCAATCTCTTTCCTTGTCCTTTTCATACTTGAATGCCTTAGGCAGCAAGGATGGACGTTTTGAGCATCAAGAAATGTTGTAGGGCGGATCCTTGATGCATTCTCCATTTTATCCATCAAGAATGCTCCCAGTTGATCCTTAAATCGTTAAATTCGAACCTTCATTTTGGGACCACGAGAATTGAATATCGCACTAGTCGATATCGCATCATTCCCTCTCTCTTTAAGAAGATTCGACCTCGAATCTTTGTAGAATCTTGATCGCTCATCAACCCTCGTCTTCTTTGTCTTTGAACTAAATGGACTTGGTAGCGATGATTGTATCATGCCCCCCCCCCCCTTCTTAAAGACAATTCGTCCATGAATTGTAGAGACACCATTATGATGAAAGTCCTCTACATAATGTTGAATTTCTTGTCGATTCTCCATGTGGGCTCCCTCTTTAGAAAATGTATCACCAATCACAAAATCAATATGAGCATACTCGAGAACTTTTGGTAAATGTTCCATAATTACCAAGCATTGATCTCCTCCTTTGAATTCTCGTTTCTCCTTAAATTGCTCAACTTCTTGCGCACTCAAATCTTCAAAAACAACAAGAATATCTTCTTTCACCTCTTTTTTCTTTCCTAATTCTTCTACTTCAAGTTCTGGTTCTTCTTGAGATGAAATCAAAGCTTGTGAATCCTCTTCACAAGTGACTTTAGTAAGCCCATCAACAAGAACCTCTTCTTTCTCTTCCACGTCTTCTTTGACTTCCTCTTCTACTTTGGCTTGAAACTCTTTCTCCTTCTTCAAATTCTGTTGCATTTGAAATCAATCCTCATAGATTTCTTTGGGAGATAAAGGCTTCAATACAAACTTCTGACATCTATGCGACCACTTGTACTTCTTGGTGACTCCATCTTGTTGTCCAGTTCGATCAAATTTCCATGGTCTTCCAAGCAAAACATGAGCCGCTTCCATTGGCACCACATCCCAAAGGACTTCATATTTATAGCTTCCAATCTTAAACTTCAATATGGCTTGCTTGGTGACCTCAATTGATCCATCTTCATTAAGCCATTGAAGAGTGTAGGGTTTCGGATGTTGCAATGTGTTTAACCCCAATTTCTTCACCGAATATTCACTCACCAGATTAGTGCAACTCTCTCCATCAATCACAACCGATAGTAGCTTACCATCCAATAAGCATCTCGTTTGAAATATATTCTCCCTTTGCTCGAGAACTTGCTTTGGATTTGGACTCCCTATCATCAAATGAGATTTAGGTTAGATTATTGTTGCTGGCGCATTATTCCCTTTTAATCCTTGAAGAATAACTTCTGTCGTCTTGAGCATTTGCTTCATCATCTCCGTGAATCGTTGATTTTGCTCCATTCCTGATTTTCAAAGGCTTCAAGAAATATTTTGTTTTGCCGCTGAGTTTGAACCAGTAATCTTCAAATCGCCGCTGAGTTTGAACCGGGCTCGTGATACCACTTGATATGATCCAAATCCGAAGAGAACCCTCGAACTCGGATGATACGACCAAAGTACGCAGCCTTCCTTCTTTTTAAGGATTTTCGAAGCTTTTCTCCAACTTGCTATAAAAGATAGATGTGGAATCAATCGGACAATCCCAACTCGTGACAAAGGGCAATTGTATATTTAACCAATCAGACATAATCAACTCGTGGAAAGAGACAATTGATATAGGGTAGATGCTCGCCACAACTAGACGCGTTCTCTAGTTGATAAGAGACACGTACAATCTCCTGGAATCCTCGACGGAAGTCTTGCACAAACGTTCACAAAGGAACACGAGTAAAAAATCTTTAATTGATAACTTGAATGTTGGGTACAAAATTTGTAGGTCTTACACCCTCTATTTATAGAGGTCTCAAAAACATAAAACTAACTTAAAAGGAATAGGAAAACAAATCCTAAACTAAGTAGGAAACATAATACTATTTAAATAAGGACTATAACTCATTTTTATAACCAAAGGAAGCTTCTTAGCAGCTAAGTAATCTCCAAACACGTTTTTAATGCTTAAGGAAGCTCCTTAGTGGTTAAGCAATCTCTTTCCTTGTCCTTTTCATACTTGGATGCTTTAGGAAGAAAGGATGGACGTTTTGGGCATCAAGAAATGTTGTAGGTTGGATCCTTGACACATTCTCCATTTTATCCATCAAGAATGCTCCCAGTTGATCCTTAAATCGTTGAATTCGAAGCTTCAATTTGGGACCACGAGAATTGAATATCGCACTAGTCGATATCGTATGAATTAGATTTTACCTAAGTTTACCCGGTATAATGAATCTTGGGCAAAATACACCTTCATGACCATAACTTTACACTTTATGACAATAATAGCCAAAATTTTTAAAAATACATAGAAATAGCCATTCCGTTAATAACTTTAACGGTACCGTTATGAATGATGACTATACTAACGCCGTTTGCTAATTTGGCATTTTTTATTAATTTTCCTGCCTGAGTTTATATATTTTATTTAACTAATTTAAATTAGAAGTAAAAAAAATCTGCCTGTTCACCTTCCACCCAATCTCCCCAAACACTTCCCCATCCTCCCACTCGCCGCCTCAGACCCTGTATTCACCTCCGCCCACTGCCACCATGTCCTTGCGATTTCTCCTCCATATAGTGCATCAAGCTGTTCGCAAGGGGCAACTTGATTTGTTGAGTCTATGCCCTTGGGGTAGGCTCAACCTCAATCCCAACCTCACTTTTTCGTTTGAAGAATCCGTAATTTAAGCGGACAATGTCCCAACGATCCGACGATTATTCACTAGCAAACGGGAGGGACGGTGGACGAGTTATGGAGAGATTACGAAGGGGAAACGCAACGAGGAGGGAAGAAAGCCTAAATTCAGGCAAAAATCATGGATGCTCTTTCTTCTAGATCGGTTTCTTTGCTCGTCGCCCGCCTCCTATAATTGTCATGTTGTAAAGCATCCCACCGGTCAATCGAAAAGAGCTCCTCTAACATCATGGCAATCGCCGGAGATCTACACCTATTCTTTATCCAATCGAGTTTTGTCGAATAATATGTACTCAAACTCGAGTGAGGGAGTCACAAGTATAAGCGGCATCAACCCCCTGGACCAGGAAGATCCAGATCTAAAGAAGAGGTACAAAGCAAAAATGATAGAGAAGAAGCCACTTCTTGATTTCCCCACTGTCCGACAAACAATCCAACAAGAGGAGGATCTGTATATGGAGTTTGTGCCACTTTTGAAGAGGGCCGTCGACAACATCGCTTCATCATTCACCATCACCGACGAACTCAATTTTCGTCCAATAACCAAAAGCCAAGGTGACAATCAACTAGGGAGTGTCGAGGAACGCGGCTGCAGCGAAAGGAAGGAGTTGGAGAAACGGAAGTGAAGCGGAGGATTTCAATCTCCTCGTGGATTGGGATATAGAGGTGTCAGCGTCGGAAAGTTAGAAGGAAGCTCCGGCGGTGGGGTGTAATAGGTCAGGGTGTGGATAGTATAACAACACCTTAAGTGTTGTTATAATAACAATAACATTAAGGGTAAAAGGATAAATCACAATAAAAATAATAAATAAAAATTAACCCTAACGATTTTCCTGTTCGCTCCGATAGCCAGTCTCCTTAATTCACACTCGTCGCTGCCTAGAAAGAGCCAGCCAGGCGTCCTCTTCGACTGCAACCACCGCGCCAATCCAAACTTCGACCAAGCAATCTTCTCCGCCACCCCTCGATCCCCTCCATCCAAGTCGTTTCTCCTCCTTCCGACGCCAATCCATCGAAGGCGCGCTTATCATCAAATCTCCTCTAGTTGATTCGATTTCGTCTCCCATCAGAAGCTTTCCAACGAGCAGAAAACAATGAACATACCTCTCTAAGAAGGAAAGAGGGTGGCGAACTCGCTAACTTCAAGCATGCCGCTTTCGCTCCACGAAGGGTCGAACTTCTCCACCTTCCAATGGTCGATGTTGGGGTCGTCGTCCCATGGCTTCGGCTGGTCGTGTTTTCCCTTGTGCTTCTTCTTCTTATTATTCACTTCATTTAACTCTGGTTCTACATTCCCCAGTGCATAAGTATCGTTCTGGTTAACACACCAAAGGTGGCTTTTTAAGTTCTTTGTTCACATCCAATCCAAGACAGGTAAGCACACAAAAGATTAATGACTTAAAATGCTTGCAACTAGAGAATTCATATGGGAAAGGAAAGAATTACAACAACTTCTAGCTCAAGGTTTCTAGATTCTATCTTCACTTGCAATGCTACCCTTAGTCGTATGGAATCTGAATGTAAGCAGCATCACACACAAAAGGAACGTCGTCCCATGGCTTCAGCAGGAATACAAAATTCACTTTAAGATCGGTCTAAAATGCAACATAATCATAACATTCTATGGGCTCAAGCTCGGGTTAATTGCATTATTAGAGGAGTATTTATAAAGAACACTAGAAACTTCATAATACATACCATAAATACGGTAAAACAACTCACAAAAAGCAAACCAGAAACTTCCTAATGCATACCACAAATCTCCTAAAACAAACCACAAACATCACAAAACAAACCACAACATTTGCGAAAGCACACCAGAAACCTCCTAATGCAAACCACAAACCTCCTAATGCATACCACAAATCTCCTAAAACAAACCACAAACCTCACAAAGCAAACCACAACATTTGCGAAAGCACATCAGAAACCTCCTAACGCAAACCACAAACACAGTAAATCAAACCACAAAAAAGCAAACCATAAACGCGCTAATGCAAACCACAAATATATTAAAACAAACCAAAAACCTCACAATGCAAACTACAAAGTTTTTGAAAGCAAACCAGGAACTTCTCAATGCAAACCACAAACACGATAAAGCAAACCACAAAAGGCATACACAAATATGAGAAACCAAACCATAAATCTCACAATGCAGACCATAACATCCGCTGATCGTTGACCAAACTCCGTGAGCAGATTCCGGCGCCGATAGGCATATTCCGGCCTTGATGACTAGATTCCGACGCCGGTAAGCATATTCCGGTGATAAATAGCATATTCCGACGACAAAAAGCATATTCCGGTGACCGACGACCAGTTTCCGGCTACCGGTGGCAGAATTCTGGCGACCAAAATTTTGGGAAGAAAATAAAAGAATATGTTCTTATTTTTTTATTTTTTATTTAAACATATTTTTCATAATGACAATTATACCCCAGTTTTGATTTTACACTAGGTCAACTAAGTTAATAAAAAGTCATCACAATCCTAGCTTCCTATTGGTTGGAGACTAGTGTTGTTACAATAACAACAAATATGGTGTTGTCACCATATCCGCTCCTAATAGGTCAGGTGGAGAAGATGAATTTTAGTTTCTTTTTATTTTTTATTTTTGTGTAATTAACATAATTAAAAACGAATATTTTCATCTGATGTGGCGCTTACTTGGCAATGGAGTGTCTAGGAGGATTTGACGTGGCGGTCAGGTGGCAACCACATCATTGTAACATCAATTTAACAGACGGTGTCATTAATGCTGTTAAAGTATTTGACGGAAATGGGCAAATTAGTCACACAGATTTTAAAAATGTGGCTACAATTCTGTATTTTTCAAAATTTGACTAATATTGTCACAAAATGTGAATTTTTGACTATAAAAGTTATTTTTCGATGAATTTTAGTATAACAAATTTCTGCGGAAAATATTGACTCGGTTCGGTCTGTCAGTTGTCGTCTTCTGTTCCATTTGCCGTGCTGGAAAAGAAGAAAGGTTCAACCGTTCTCGTCTCCGATTCGCCATGGAAACTCGATCGCATCCGTCTGATCTTCGTTTCCGATGGTAAATGCTATTAATTCGCGATGAATCTTCAGGTTACACCCTACGCATCTTCTCCATCTTCGTCCTTCCCTCCAGAATACACTGGCGATGCCGGCCACGAAAGCGACATCTGCCACGGCATCTGGTTCGATGCTCTGCTCGTGGTTCCGGCGGTGCTGTTCGTCGTATACTTGGTGCTGAACGCGAGCAAGAATGTGAAGAAGCTGTGGCGTGGAGGCTCCTACGTCATGATTGCGTATTACGCCCTCCTCTGGTTCGCCAGCTCCCTCAATCTCGCTTGGTGCTGCCTTCAGGTGCTCGCCCTCCGCCTTCCTCTTCAGTACTTACTTGCCTTCGATTTACTCGTGGTGTACGCATTTGGGGTTATGGAATTAGTAGGTTTGAGAAATGGACCGATTTCACTAAGCAGGTGGAAGGGAATCGATAGCAGAAGGTTGGTTGAGAAAAAATGATTTCTTTTTCTGACTATTTGTGTAGGGTTCCTTGTTGGAGCTGAGAATTCCTCTTTAGAGGTTGTTTATAGCTCTATAAGCTTGGATTGATACTTCCTAAGCTTTCGAAGAGCAAAGTCTTGCAGCCTTTCTGTTTCATTTTCATCAATGCACAACTCTGAAGCATCATTCCTGGAAAGTTCTGCTAGGCAATTGGCTAACACGTTTGCATCAAATCAAAAGCTAGCAATCCGAGACAGCATTGATGAACTTTCAGTCTTTGTTTGATCACATAAGAGCTCTGTAAATGTTGTTCATTGAAAATCTTAGAGCTTCCATTTATATTCCTAATCTCTTGATTTGCTTGCAGGCCTGGCAATGCTCTCCTCAGAAGGAAGTTGCTTGGAATTTTCTGTCGCTGTTAGTTGAATCTTCAATCTTATGCTTGGAAATTAGTGTGATCGCTTTCTTGCTCCAAGATAATTATGCTACTGGAATGGAAACTTTGGGACGAACCTTTCTCGTGTCAGGAATTATTGTTGGTGTCGATCTGCTGTTCAAGGTAATATTAATTCTTGTAGCAATTTCCCTCTGGGCATTCAGTTTTACATGGAGAGGCATCCCTTTCTCTGTGACTTACTGAATCAGATTCCAAAGTAGAGGCTTTATAGTTCATATATGAATCCTAGAAACTTGTGTTGCCATTACTGTTGGAAAACTTACTTTCCCTGGGTCGATCATCTGAAATCAGATAGTTGGACATGTCCTACATGGTTTTCAGATGTTATGCATTCATGTGCAGTAAGACGAAGCCTCGTGGTATTCAAATGCAGTTGCATCATGGTGCTAAAGGGATGTTATGCTGGCCCAGACCATGCTGCTACTATGGTGTTCGTTTGCTGGCGTAACTTCTTTTAGGCAATCTAATTAGCTGTGCACGAGTGCGGTCAACATTTTGAAAGCATCCTACTGGTTTAGTTAGCGATTTGTTTTTCTTGGTTTTGTGCATTATGGGATCAATAGTTGCCAGGGTTGATGTGTGATCTTTCAGCTCAGGGAAAGAACTTGTCATCAACATGCAAGCAAAAAGCTGCTTCTGGCCTCAATCATACTAACTGATAAGGGAGAGACAAACTCGGCAACTACCTCTCCACTTCTCCCCTCTCTTCGCCTTGTGACTGTTACTTTTCTGTTCTTCTGTTCCTAAGTTTATGTTAGTGGGGAATTATCCTTCCATAGGAATAGCTATCTGTTGAAGTCTCATTGTATATATACACATCAATAATACAATCACAACTCAGGTCTTCTGAGACACTTTCATGGTATCAGAGCTGCTAGAACTCTAACGAGTCAATTTTCTTTTCCTTCTTTCTTCCCGTTCTCGTCTCTCCCTTATCACTAACATCTGTTATGTTTGGCTTTTCACAAATCTGGACCATTTTGATAATCTATTCTCTGATTACTTTCTTCAGGCCATTTACGTTTTTGGGTTTGGGGTACCACTATTTGTTGAAGGACTAGAGAACACTCAAAGAATGAAATGGGGAATGTGGATCATCCATCAACTGTTGATATTTGGAGCCTACGGGTTTGTGTTATTTGTGCATTTCTCAGGAGGCAAGGATAAATTGCCTCGTAAGTACATACATCATTGAGAGTATATTCAGGGTAACTGAAATTTTGTTTACGAGTATAAGGTCTTATTGCCTTTTATGGTGTCCTGCAGCAAGGCCAGCATTCTACAACTACATCAGCATGATGTTTATTATAAATGCAATGGGATTGTTTGCTTGTGGAGTTGCTGCTGTTGGGATTGGCTTCGGCATTTGGTACGTATAATAATTTATGAAAAACACCCCACAGCTGTGGGAAAAATATTTCTCTTGCAAATAAACTGTCAGTTGATCTAGGGTTAATAGTTATTCCTAGAGTTAAATTGCAAAAAATCTTTGAGTCCTAGTCTTTTCAAGATTAACGCATACGCGGCCTTTAATCTGTATCTTGCAGGTTGTACTACTTCCTGGTTCTGTGCTACCACTCTCTCTACCTTCCATTCGTATACACAACATTTCTTGCCGATTTTTTCCAGGTTTGGTACACTCCCTTCACCACATCCTCTGTCTTGGTGTTTTTAACTGGTGGACGTATATTCTGTTAAGTGTAACAAATCAAGTGTCTGCATGTATGGGTGGGGTACAGGAAGAAGAATTTCTTCTGGATAATGCATACTACTCAGAGATGAAAGATGCAGGGTTCTTTGATGCTGATTGGGAGTAGGAAATGAAGGCCTGGCAGAGTATAGACGTTAAATATTACAATAGAGGAGGAAGATGTGCACATTATAATATCCGGCTGAAATTGATACTGAACAAAAGGAAAGGGGATTCAGATTCAGTTTTCACCCATACGCTTGAGTGGTGAAGTGAGAGTATGATGTGTGGTAAGCAAGAAAATCGTACCATGCGCTTGACCGGTGAAGGCAGATTTGGAGTTTGGAAGTCCTTCCAGCATATGTGATCAGATCAAGCTGGCAGACGGAGGGTGAAGTGACGGGGAATTGGATTTTCAGCTTTTGGATTTTAACTCTTGGTTCTTCTCCTTACCTGCAATTCTGGGCTGAGGGAGGCACGAAGGGCAGGGAGAGATGTGTAGGAAGTAAGTAGGGAAGCAGAAGAAACATTGAAGCTATTTGGGGAGGGAGGTATGTTGTATCTAGAGTTGCATAGAAATGATGAACAACGTCATATTGGTTTTTTTTTCTCCCGTTTTTTTTCATTTTGGCAAGAAACGTCAAGTTGCCAGGGGTTGAGAACAGTGGCGGACCCAGGATTGTCGGAGAGGTGTGTCGCCGATAAAATAAAATAAAAATTAAATTTAAAATTAATTTAAAATTAAAAGAAATTAATTCATAAAGTTCATAATGTCATGTTTACAACGAACCGCGACGACTTTTCATCTGCTGAAATGTCTCTAAAATACATTCATCACTTATACTGCAAAACAAATCTTTTTCAATATACACAACTAAACAATCATTTATAAATTGGTCACTCAATCGATTTCGAAGATCGTTCTTGATTATCTTCATAGCTGAAAATGCTCTTTCGCAGCTTGCAGTTGCCACAGGTAAGGTCAACACCAACTTTAACAGCAAGTAAACTAAAGGATAAAGAGTGTCATTTCCCCTTTCCACCAATTTCCTAGCTAGCTCGTCGATTCCTCGAAATCCATCAAAGCTCTTATCCTCCTTGACATGAGAAATGTAGCCCCCAATTGTTGATGAAGTCGTGAGAGCAAATTGGATGGAAACTCCTCGGGATAAAACTCAGTAAGACTTATCAACTTTGCTTTATCAAAAGAAGCAAAAGAGTTAGCTGGACTAAAACAAGAAATGCAGTCCAACAATCGAGTGTTCACCTCACCAAATCGAGTATTCAATTCTTGCAGCTGCAAATCTATAACTGCATAGAATAAATCGACTTGATAGTAATGTATATTGTATGGGCGAAGAGTGTTTTTTTTAATAGGAAGGATAGGATTATGCTTTATGAGTTATTTTAAACAAAATTAAAAAGGATTATGATTAAGATTGATTCATTTGGATAATAATTTCTTCGAGTATAATAAAGGTGTGTCGGCTATAATTATTGAGGGTGTGTCGGCTATCCCAAAGTAAAAAATTTTGTACCAAAAATATGTAGGTCCTTCGTAAAATTCTCGAGTGAGGGTGTGTCGTCCATGCCTTAGGTCCGCCACTGGTTGAGAATTTCCCTTGTCCCTTTTGGATGGAGCCCAAGGCCAGGCATGCATGCATGAAGGTCAATTCTAAGTTTGCGATTCTCAGAACAGAACACACTTGTCGATTCTTGACGCTGAAACCTGAAAGGGTGAATCAGACTTTCATATTGACAGCCACAATTAATCACCCACCCTGAAGCCAGATGGACGGTTGCTGTATAATCGCCAAGGAGACCAACTATGGGAATGGAATTATTGATGACATACAATATTAGTTACTAACTTTTTGATTATAATTTTTAATGATATACAATATTGTTGTGAACGTTTGTGAAAAGAACTATTCGTTGTATAACATGGTGTTATGATTTATGAATGTTTTGAAAATAAATAATAATAATCTACAATTTCTTTATGATAGGGCAAAAGCGTAATGCTTCAATTCCTATCTCGTAGTAAACCGGAAAGTCCGGGTATCGTCTCCCAGGGACTAGTACAACCTTATGTTCTATCGATTTTATGAAGCAAACTATAGGTGGAAATGGTTTGAATGGTGAAACTATTATCTAATAGCAAAATAATTCAACAAAACAAGCAAATTAAAGTTGTCGGGAGAAATCAATGGAGAAAGCTCTGGGAGAAACACCGAGACTCACTACCTATCATATTCAAATTAATTCACATATTCCAATAAGTTTAATCCATATCTCTACAGCCAGGATATCACTACTGTGCTAGCTATCCCTGTCGGGAATTACTACGTACTAAACAATTAAATCAAATCCTACTGTCGTAGCTCAATGACTTAATTATTTAGCTTGAAGATCGATATCCTATTTAAGACCGCATAACACCTTATTTAATCCACTGTCGCTTCGATAAGTTACTATGTCACATGAAATAGGTTCAGTTATTAGGGTTTCACAGTAGCTAATAACCTAATTATCTACGATTCATTATATTGGTGGCCAGTCAACACAAAGCATTAAGCAATTTCATGCAATAGAGATTGGAAGAAAAGAAATACGAATCAATCCATCAAGTATAGAAATAGCTACATCTTGTGGTGTTTCCCCCAGAAATTGGGATTTAGTTCATGACGAAAATAAAACACACAATCATGTTTATAATCATCAGCGGCGGATCAAGGACATAGTAGAGCATTGGGCCACATTTGAATAGAATACTAGCTACCATAAAATATATAATAACTATAGTTTTCATTATAATGTGAATTATGCTAGAAGATTTTTTTTTAATTTAGCAAACCCATCAATAATGGACTCTCCATCCATACCAATAACATACTCTCTCTCAAGAAAATAACTAAGCAATCAATGAGAAATTAATTATTCATTTTGTTGCACAAATAAGTTTTCATATGTTTCATTGCTGAAAAATATTCTCTTCCTGGTAGTCGTTAAAACAAGTAAGGTCAACACTAGATGAATCAACTGACAAATCAATTTGTATAGTGTGTTCATCCTAGTTTCCTCCAACTTATCTAGTCATTTTGCAAGAGAAGAAAACTTTCCCAATCCCAGTTTCCACTCAACTAAGGCAATCTAAATGATAACTCAGCAAGTTTGTAAATATTTTCTTAATGAAAAGACTGGAAAGAAAACTAGTGCCCGACGGACTGGTGGAGTAATTCATTTCAGGTTCGTTCGTCTCCTCGTTCTTGTTTTGTTTTGGGGGGATTGGGGACATTTTTTGAGTTTTGCCGGGAATGGTGAACTTTAGTTCAGAGGGGTTTTTAAATCAATAAAACTATAATTTTTTAAAATTTTAGGTTTTATTGTCTTTTTTCATATTAAAATATTCGGGGCTAGAATTTTTAGTCTAAATTTAGATTAGTGGTTTGGATATGTTCATTTGTGCCATTTTTCTAGTGACACAAAATCCTATTATTAAATAAAACTGGACCGAATTTTAAATAGTACTAGGCCGAATACCTAAATCGAAACATTTATAAGCACTATACAAACTCTGGATTTAGATCCGCCACTGATAATCATCATCGTATTAATTAAAGCTCAAGGAAAAAAAATACTGAGATTATGGAACGTAATCTCGATCAATTCCTTCTTGCTTCAATCGCCGATCGTCCTCTGCTCGCGAGTCGCCGCTTTTCTCCGCGCTACTGCTCGCTGCGCTCCAGAAGAAATTTGTCCCCGCCAAAGATTCCTCTCCCCCCAAGTAAATTCCGCCCGGTCCAAATAATTGATCCCCCCTCTATTCCGTGTGTCCTCAACCCAGAAACCCACCAAAGCTTTCCCATAAACTCTATTAATTAAGCTTTGTTATCAAAGAATCCATAATACCCATCCGGTCCACCTTAATTATCTCATTCAGTAATGAGAATTTCTCATTTCATTTACCTAAAACATATAAAATATTTGCACTCGGCGGTAATTGTTATATAACCATTCCAGGCTAAGTTGGACCAAAAAACAAACATTATATGTCTAAAAAATATCACAAAATAATCTCATTAAACACTTATAATCAATATGTTTCGACAATTATCACAACCCCACACTCAATACTTGCTTGTCCCTAAGCAACGACTCAGATAAGAGAACGATAATTGGAGGAAACACAACACAGAACATACAGGGACAACCTTGTTCAAAACACACAACCCACGGAACACAATCATCAACACCATGAATTTATCCTTGTACTCTTGTGGTAATCAGTAGTTTCTTTCTCAATGGATGATTTGTGCTTTAATGATCATACCATTTCACCCCACACTCAAGGTCATTACAACCATTAACATTGACTAACTCAAATCCATCAAAAACTCAATTAGCAACACTCAATTTCCGATCGTCGGTAGTGGATGATTAATAACTTATGGTGTAACAGTTATTAGGAGAATCTAACCACATCAGTGAGGTTCGAATGTCGTGAGGACAATCTGGCTTACTCACATAAATTATAAGCAACCAACTAAGCACAAGAGTCTCGAAAACTAATGGGGGAAGCTTTTCGCAAACTTGGTTTTGACTTTAAGCACATCACTACCTTTTCTGACAAGGAGAGTCTTTCTCTCTATTTTTATTTTGCTTGCCGAGTAGTCATATTTAGTACAAGTGGGATTTGTTTCTTACTACCGGTGACCGAGCAAGAGAAATTTCTGCTTCTTAGCACTCGCATAAGGGCTTCTTTCAACTCCTTTTCCTCGGTCCGTGTGGAGGGTCACTGCACATCTCAAACGACGCTTCACTCAGCGGGGATTGTACTTGATAAGCAACATCGTACGCTCGTGAACCGAAGCTCAATTGAATATTTCCTAATCCCCCGTGCAATGAGTGATTGCCTCACACGATTTTGGTATTTTACCCACACTTTAATTGTTATGATAACTTTCTTATATTTTACTTGTCAGGTAGGATTTTTCTTCTTTTATAAAGATACAGTTCACCCCATCATAAAAACCTTTAAAACAGAGAGACTCAATGCAAAGTCGAAAGCTCACAACAGATGCAAGTAAGCACGGTATCCAAACGTGTTGAATGGTCAATGCTCTC